TCATGTAGTCAAGCAATGCAAAGGTTTGTAGGCGAGGAGCAGACACAAACCCTTCGAATGCTGAGAGCGGTGCGTTGTGTGCGACCAATGGGCATTGGATGAGCAGCTCCTGCAGCGAATCAAAGGTGCAGTCCGAGAAACCATGCAATACTGAATGCGGAAGATGGATGCGTAGGCCTTTCCAACGTCGCGTCGTGGCCCTTAGGACATCCAACAATTGTCGGCGGACAGCGTCCTCCTGACGCAAAGTGGCTGCGTCGTCCAGCCCCCAATTATAATATGAAACAACATCAACGGAGAAATTGACGTATAGTTCCAAATCCCCCGAGCGCTCCAGGTGTAACTGCAACCTGTACTGCTCTGCCGGTCCAACCCATAGCATTCCTCCAAGATCAACGCCCACAAAACACCAAAGCATTCGCGACGATAGACAGATGTCTCTCCACCTCTGGCATACCTGCGACAGAGACCAAGGCGCGTTGCAGGTATCCAGCGAGTTCATGGATCTGGTGAACGAATCGGACCACGACCTCCCAGAATAAAGCGGGGTGCAGTGGAAGAAGATGTCAAGCAGAGTGTCATCTGGAAGGCATTCTATGGGCGGAAAGGCTTGATTTGGTGCACATATAGTACGAGGCTTGACCTCGTCTCGGCGCTCAACTCCGCTTTGGTCGAGATGTTGCAATACGAGAGTCCAGATACGTGGGGTCACGAGTCTCTGGTAATTCTTTCGCATCGGTAAATAGTGCATCGTTTTGTGAGAGACCGTCGCAAAAAGGTGGGGTAGAAAGCGACGAGCGATTCTTTCCCACTAGGAATACGGCGCGAGATGCCATACCTAAGTAAGGCCTAATGATTTATGATTCTACCTGGATTGGTGTTAGATAGACAGTTGTATGAATGTTGGTTTTTTACCTGTTGCAGGTAGAGGCAGGTGGATGACCCAAGATAACGTTCGAAGAGATCAACGGCGAAAGCACGTGCTGAATGTGGTCTTTTGTTTTCCGCCGCCTCGTGGCTTGGGTCATCCACCTACGCCCACCAACAGGTAAGAAACCCGCTCTCACACAACTTCCAGCTGAAACACATCCTAGTCTTTATAATTGTAGGGCATTATGGCAGCTGACGCGGACGTGTGCTGCCCGCATGCAACCTCGTATTCCCTGTGGGAAAGGGACTTTCCATCCCGCCTTTTTGCGACGGTCTCTCACAAAACGAAACAACATTCATGGATGCGAAAACTTTGGAGAGTGATGACCACGCGCTCCTCGCATATCTGGACTCTCACATTGCACACCTCGAACAACGCGTACTTGCTTTGAAAGAGCGCCGAGACGGGGTTAAGCATCGTATATATGCGCCAAAACAAGCCCTTCCTCCCATACAATGCCTTCCAGATGACACTCTGCTTGACATCTTCTTCCACTGCACCCCGCTTTATTCTGGGAGGTCGTGGTCCGATTCGTTCACCAGATCCATGAACTCGCTGGATACCTGCAACGCGCCTTGGTCTCTGTCGCAGGTATGCCAGAGGTGGAGGGACATCTGTCTATCGTCGCGAATGCTTTGGTGTTTTGTGGGCGTTGATCTTGGAGGAATGTTATGGGTTGGACCGGCAGAGCAGTACAGGTTGAAGTTACACCTGGAGCGCTCTGGGGATTTGGAATTATACGTCAATCTCTCCGTTCATGCTGTTTCGGAGTACAATTGGAGGCAGGACAACACAGCTGCTTTGCGCCAGGAGGAAGCCGTCCGCCGACAATTGCTGGATGTCCTAAAGGCCACGACGCGACGTTGGAAAGGCCTACGGATCCATCTTCCCCGTTTAATATTGCATGATTTTTCGGACTGCACTTTTGATTCGCTGCAGGAGCTGCTTGTCCAATACCCATTGATCACAAATCTCGCGGCATCGTTACCAGTCTTTGAGGGGTTTTCGACTGCTCCGCGCCTACGAACCTTTGCGGTGCTTGAGAACTTGTCTCGCACAGATAGGCTTATGATCCCTCGGATTGCGTTGTCGCAGATTACGGACCTTGGAAATACTCCCTCTCCTGCGTGGATTGCCATTGAACACTTGCGGAAAATGGTAAACCTCCAAAGGTTGAATTTTGGTGCGATTTGGGTTCCACTGGCAGGCATTTCAGGCTTGAATGGGGGGCCAATCACCCTACCTTCCCTAACTTTCCTCTCCATTTCGCGCGCCATTCAATTTCGTGACCGAAGTTCTTTGTCGGATGTCGTTCGCGCTCCCGCCTTGAAACACCTCCGTGTGGGGGAGTCTATAGGTCTTGGAGATCTGTGCGATTCCCGTATGTTCAGAACCGTGACACGGCTGGAAATTGTCAACATGAACTTCACCGTCTCCTCGTACGGTCTTTATCAATTCCTACTTGTCACTCCGAATGTGGAGCATTTCGAAATATCATCGCACCTTTCTGTGGAGTTCTTTGAACAGCTTACGCTCTCGGATCGCAGAGGTCATACGAACTTGCTCCCAAGGCTTCGCGTTCTGGACATAACCGAAGCGGAATACGCTGTCGCACTCGACGATTGTATCCTAGACATGTTGGAGAGTCGCCGCGCTGTACTACAGGAACTCCATACGTGTACGGGTTTCTCCTGGGTCGGCGGGCGCCCGGACTCTTCCCGGTGGCAGAGGGTTCGTCAGGTTGTGCGAATCGTGCATACTCGCGAGACGTTTCATCTGGACGAGCTTGGTGTCGACTACGACGATGACGAGGATGATGATGATAGCGACTATGTTCCGGGAACAGACTCGGAATCAGAGTATACCAGCGGTATGACTGATGAAGACGATGAAGAGGGATAGGCCCAGAGGCCGCGCGCACATACTATGTACCTATTCATGTAGAGTCGTCGCTTTGCCGGCCAGTAGTGATTATGAAAGAAGGCTTTCCTCGGAGCGCGGAACACCGAGAGTTCTTGAAGATTTTAGGTAGATTAAGTAGTTGTAGTTTTACTATTCCTTAGGAATTGACCTCTTTCTATCCTCATTCAGCGGAACAATAGGGGTACTAACGAATCGGCCTTGAAATCCTACACGGTGACAGCACTAAGAAGCATGATAAGTAGATCGCTACAGCGTGATTCACCAGAACTTTCCAAACACCCACCCAAATGCCTTCTCGTGCGCAAAGAAAATACCCTGAATCAAGTAGCTCACGAGCGTGTCCGACACCGCCTTGTCCTGCATACCATTGATCCCAATCTCTTGCGTGTCAGTGTTCACCCCAATAACGAAAAGCGCGTCCTCAGGCTGGTCGATGATCGTGGCAGCGACCTTGGAAACTACACGAAGCGGCGTGGCGCTCCCGACCTGGTACACGACGGAGACATAATCGGGGCGCTGGATGAGCCCCCACTCGGTGGTCTCGACGATGAAGCGCCCCGAGCGCGCCGGCTCCTCGCGTGGATCAGCAGAGCCCAGCTGATCCAACTTCGTCGCCCAAACATCCGGGTCGTTCGGGTCGACAGTTGGAGGTGCTTGATCGCCGGGGTCACAGCCCTCGGGCTTCAAAGGCGGGTGTACGACCGTGTCGTTCGCCGGGTCGGTTGTGACCTCGAAGTCTGCATCGCCAACCCTGGCAGTCGGTGTGCCGGTGAGCTTCCAGAGAATCTCAAGACGAGCACCGAGACTGTTGCTATAGAATGAATTAGCATTGAATAACGAAGTAGATATGGCTCGGAGGTACATACCTTGGAAACGCATGCGCGCCGTACATCTTGACTTCGCCAACGTATCCTTGATTGACGCTTGGGTCGATGGTAAATGGAGCAAACTGGGAAGTGTGACATTAAATGTCAGAGACAAAGAACAGCAAATCAATACTTACTCGCTCATTCCCGGCGCTGTCGTATAACGTCGCACGCCAGTCCTTGGGCGGGTCAGGCGGCAAGAGATTGAGCTACCCTTCGTGACGCCCGTGACGTAGAGTTGTTGTTTAATCGTGCCAACCATGTTTAAATGCGAGGGTGGAGGATGACGATTGCAGAAGCCTGAGGCGCCCTTTTATACGCTGTAGGAAATTCAATATTGCATCTCTATTTTGGAACGAAGTAAGACCACAGCCCACGATGATATGTCAAGTGGCGCCTTTCGGTGCATGTCGGTGCGGCTCCATCCATTCATCACGTACTGTAGTTCCCAGTGGGGCGTTAGAACACATCGACCTGCAATGCCTTAGAGGGCATATGATTCCCTGTTGGCTTTCCCTTGGAAGGATAATTGAACTTGAGAGAAAGGCAGTCACCGTGCTCAATTCACCGCCCCCACTCTGTCGCCTGCCAGTCATATTGTCGTCTCCATCCACAAACGATAATCTACAAGCATCACCCAGAGCACGTCTCCAACAGCCAAAGGCCAATACGGAGCACTGATAAGCGCACAGTACCATGACATGCTTGAGTGAAACCGACATTTCCGCGTCATTACTCAGCGATTGAGGGCACCGCAATTGAACACTGCCACACTGCAGCTTTCATCGTCTACTCCGTGCGCGCGAGCAAGATGATATTGGGACGAAATAAGCCTGAGAGCGCTGAATTTACTCACATCGTCTAAACCAACGCGTCCAGTATCCGTCTGGGCGACGAGTCCGACAACTTAGTCTACGATTCACATTGCCATGTTCGAGTTCCTGCAAGTTACGAACTGCAAGTAAAGAGATAAGGCTGGCACCAGGGGCATGATGAAAGACTACCGGGACGAAAACTTGCGGCGCCACAGTAAACGAAGTTCAGAACCTAGACTGACAGCGAGGACTCAGGACAGCTAGGCCTAACGTTCTCCGCAGACGAGGACCATAACGCGTAGAGAGTTTTAATTAACTGCAACAGACGGGGCGGTTGGCTGAAAGCAAACGACTCGACGAGAGAGATCGTCATGACTCATGAGGGAAAAGAAACAAAGCGCACGTGCCGCCAAGCCGATCGTTGACTCTCGGTTCAAGTCAAAAGGCAATTCTACATGGCTGCGATTCCCTCTAGCCGACTTGAACGACTGACCTCGTCATGATATCAATCACCAGCATGGGGATACTAGTGACGCGCTCTACCACTGAGCTAAGAGGGATGGAGTCCTTCCAAGTATGCGTTGAAAGCTCCGAAGGTTTAAGCTGACAGAGCGAAGGGTTGGTTGGAGTGTTTCTCAATTCAAACCTGGGTTGACTGGAGTTAGGACCTCCTCCTCTAACCAGTAGTTTGGACCAGTGATGCGCAGAACGGGTTCTAAAATTCGCGAGTTCTTCGAAAACATGCCAACTTCATCCTAGTAGCTTACAGACCGATAGTAAATAACGATAACTAAGTTGTCCATTAGACATATGTGCTCTGCTTCTTGATTGTCGAGTTGTCTTCCGAGTCGTTGAAGGAGGATATTACATCGCGGGGGCAGCCTCAAAATTTCCCGAGGTTCTATCGCGAGCTCGAACGATTGAAAGTTGAAGGGCAGGTCCAGACCCAGAACTCGGCGACGTCGGAAATGCATACTCGTCAGATGTCTGATTCGCCGTGCGGATGATGATGAGGTTATAGGCGATGGAGACGAGTTGTATCTCCTTGGGAGTGGGTCAGGAGAAAGTGTAACCGGCGAGCAGAGTGAACTTACGGCGTCAGAGGCGATATAGCCAGCATTCTTATCCGACCAGAAGCTTATAAACGAGCACAGGGCGCTTAGTGTGCATAAGAGCCCCGACTCTATCACAATCCGTATGACCATCTGCAGGTGCGACTTCTGCGTACGACGAGTGCGGAATCTAGCTGATTCCCTATCAATACGCCATATTCTCGCAGCGATCAAGCCTTTGTTTTCGGAACGGTCAGCCAAGAAAAGAACTATTTGGAACACAACGTACCGGTCGAAACTATATTCTGTACGATCGTCAATGACAGTATGGCTTCAAGGGAGTGTTCCAGGCGAGCAGTGTCTACTGGAGTCCCAACATGCAGCGCAACCGTGTTGTACACGTAGAAAATGACGGTCGCTGTGGTCCCCAGCCACAGAGCTGCCGGAAGGCATATGACCTTCAAAGAATGCAGGTATACAACCCAGCATCGGAATACCTGCTAATCCTGAGAAGATAAACCGCATAAATAGTGAGAGGACGTTACCAGAACAGCGTCAACAATCACGATGGCTATGAAGATCCCGATGACCTGGGGAGTAATTATGTAGACCCGAACATCACGACAAGCAGACAAGTAAAACTCACCAACATCGTATCAACGCCGGTAGGCGGAAAATGGACGTCTAGCCGAAGGACTCTGACTAGTCCGAGGCAGACATCCACTGTTGCAAACGAGAAGAGCAGGAGCGCCACTACCACCAGGTACCAGTGAACGCAGCGCTTCATCTTCATCCCCGACTCGTCGAGGATCATATATCGCATAGCAAACACGAAGGAGATTAAAAGCCAGCCATACATGATGCTCTCTACGAAGAGCGAGGCGATGTTAATCCGTTCCAGGGCATCATCGGTCTGGGAAGACGTCGACATCCTTCTTGTCGAGCAGGAAACGTTAACGTCACTTGAGCCAGGGTGGGCACTTTATATCAGGATCGTGGAGATGTTGCTGTCAAACGAATGTATTAACAGAAGGACTATACATAGTTCTCAGCGCATTGGTGATGAAGGGGGTAGATCCGGTTGGTTAGGCTTCGTGATTCGGGTTGAGGTTACTCCCGATGCATCAGCTGAAAACTTGAAGTTGAGTTCGTGTTTTCACAGCGAGCAACATCTGGACTTTTGTTCACAGGTGGAAGATGGAAGAAAGAGATGGAGGTGTAGCTTCGACCCTAGAAATTGATGGCAACTGTATACGTCCATGATCTCAATGATCTTGTCCAAATCCTCGCCCGACGCCGAACGCTGTCCGCCCGCCTGCATTCATATAAATACAGGATGCTTGCGTATCTTGTCACACGCCGTCGTTCAATCATCTTCGTGAATCGGCGCGCCTGCCTACAGCCTCCTCATTTGCCTGCTGCCGTCACTACATCACATCCGACATCATGATCGGTTTACTTGCACTCCTTCTCGCTTCCTTGGCCTCAGTTGAACTCGGATACTGTGCATCAGATGACAGTGATCAACTTGGGGGCAGGTACAGAGGTCTCCCAACTTCTGCCATCTCCTCGTCCAAGTGGCACGCTTTGAATGCGACTTTGGGAGGGAAGCTGCACGCTGCGGTGCCTCTCGCCGCGCCTTGCTTCAGTAGCCTGAACGGAGATGAGTTCAGAGGAGACACGTCGGAGTGTGCTATTGTTGAGACGGGTTACCGAAATCCCTTCTTCCGGTCGCCCAAGCTTAACGCGTACACTTGGGTACGTCTTCCTCGTTTGTCGGCAGCCTAGAGCTTTAAATTACTTACACGATATCAGCCGCAATGGGAGAGCTGTGTGGCAAAAGAAGAATCATGCACGCTTGATCCCACCTCTACGAACAATTCTGCAGCGTGGTCTGGGAAAGATTGTGCCCAAGGAAGTGTATCCGAGTTTTACGTGAGTTCTTTCATATCTCTATTGAATCAGTCCTCAGTTGCTTGATAGGTCGATGTCCAATCAGCAGAAGATGTCCAAATCGTCTTTGCTTTCGTCCAGCAAACTGGCGTACTTGTTTCAATCAAGAACTCCGGCCATGACTTTGGCGGTCGGGGAGCCATGAAGGGGTCTCTCTCGATTTGGGTACGTTCCTCTCACCTTGTTCTTGTCAGACGCTGATTATCATTCTCACTATCGATAGACACGAAATCTTGAGACTGTTCGTACCTCTTGTTGATGTATCAACAGAAGCCTCTGATCCTCATGTCTAGATCTCCCATGATCCAGCGTTTCTTCCTGAAGGCGGGAATGCGGAAACGCTTGCTCTTACCATAGGAGTACGCCTCACATAGTCATTGGGTTGAAACATTCGAATTGACGGACTTCTTTAGGCTGGCGTGAATTGGTACGGTGTCTACAAGTACGCCGAAGCCAACAACATCACTGCCGTTGGCGGCTACCATCCCACAGTCGGTGCTGCTGGAGGTTGGCTGATGGTCAGTTGTTGCTTCTCCCACCACGCTATGATGTTCTCACCATGTTAATCATCATCAGGGCGGCGGACATAGCATTCTAAGTCCCGTCTACGGACTTGGTGTCGATCGTGTGGTGCGCCATCGTTCTCTTCAATTGAAAAGATCCATCAACCGTCTAACATCAGTGCCTCAGTTGCAATTCAAAGTCGTCACTCCGGACGGCAAATATCGTGTTGCAAACGAGTTTCGAAATCAAGATCTCTTTTGGGCTCTCCGAGGGGGAGGGGGAGGTACCTTCGGTGTCGTCCTGGAGTGTACCATCAAAGCGGAGCCGCAGATGAAGCTACAAGTGTATGGATTCGCTTTGCTGTCTGTCGTGTACCTAACGTGGATACAACAGCGCTTCATTGTCCTTCACGCAGACGACGGACAATGCCCGCGGTTTTTTGAAGCTCGTCATCGATAACTCCGTCAAGTGGGGAACCGAGGGCTGGGGTGGCCATATATCGGTAATCTGTGGTCTCAGGCGCTTGTGTCTACGACTAATCCATTTCATAGGCTCACGATCTCGTCAGCGTAACACCACTTCTGTCTCTAGATGAAGCCAAGACATCTATGCAAGATGCTGTAGACTACACCCTCGCGCAGAACGGTACCGCAATAATCGAAGAGGTCCCATCTTGGTTGACATTCTTCGAAAAGTATGTCTCCTTCACCAATGTTAGTCGTCTCCTTTCTTTTCCTTTCGCTCTCGGTCTAAAACATACTCAGAGTGTTGGAATTAACGCCATCGGTGGTTCTTGGCTCGTTCCGAACACAATGTTCGACAATGAGACTACCAAGGAGCAGTTGCTGGACGCGATCATGCCCATGACGGCTTTTGGGAACCCGCGCATCACGACCGCGACACCGTATCTGTTTAACTACACCACCGGATCGACAAGCGCTGCCCCGGCATGGCGGGACTCTCTGTGGCATGTACGTCGGCCAGTACAAACATCAATAAGTTGGCTGACTCGCTGAAGGCCGTGTTTCAATACATGTATCCTTGGAATGCGACTCAGGACGCTGTAAGAGCGGGATATCAAACTATAACGGACAACATCCAGCTTCTCAGAGATATCGCACCGGAATCGGGTGCTTATGGGGTAAGGTCATTTTTGTAGACAAGTTCCTAGTCTCATCATATCCTCTTCCCAGAACGAGGCGGATATTTATGAGCCTGATCACGAACGTGAGTACTTTTAGATTTCTACTTGGGATGGTTTTGAGACATGTGCTACAGGTGCCTTCTGGGGGGACAATTACCCGAAACTGCTGGAGCTCAAGCAGAAGTTGTACGTTGAGAACCAAGCAAACGTTTAAATAGTACTGACTAGTCTCTAGCGATCCTGTCGGTCTTCTTGACTGTTGGTATTGCGGTACGTGGTACTGGGTCTGCTATACTTTCAGAAAAACTCATCCTTATTCAGTGGGATGGCGTGGCGCAGATAACTCTCGTTTCCAGTGTTACGTATCAGAATGATGAGAGGTCGCTGTGACCTGGACTGCATATCTTATTCTTAAATTTTAATAAACTGTTTTCCCCTGTTGAACTCATATCATCATATCGTTGTCCTGGAGAGTGACTACCGTTCATACTTCTTCGCATGACGTGCCCGCACCTTTCGCCGGAGCACGTATCAAGGGTACAAACATCTAAAGATTGTCGTTAGTATACACGGTATGGCGGGATGCTCGAAAAGAATATAACTCACGAACGACCTCCAATCCAAAAACGCGTCCAGGATCTATTGAATTATTCTTTAGCGCCGCACGCGTGGCCCGCCCTAAACATATTAGTCACAAAGTCGCCCGTGATGTGCGCATCGCCTCTCTCCAGCCCGCGCCGCATAGCCTCTGCAGCTTCGTCTGAGGTAAGGTTTGGCCGTCAGTCCGTTCAAGATGGCCGGCGTACTAATGTTCTCTGCCCCGAACGACGTCGTGTACATAGTGTTTGGGAGAGCACGTCAATGAAATTGTCAAGGGAATTAGAACGTTTATTACTGCAACCTCGCA